GGGCAGCATTTTTCTAAAGAAAGCAAGCTAGCTCAGTGAAAGTCATTCTTGATTCAATTTGTAGTCGTTTAGAAGTTGTTTCGATTTTATTAACAATGATAAATGCGGTTTGGAAGAAAAATTGGGGATTGAGTTTAGGTTGTTTTGAATAATTTATATGTGAAGCGAACGATTGACTTTTTATTTTGGATTGAAATCTTCTTCACTTTTTACAAATTTTTAAATATAATTTATCAACAATTTTCATGTTATAAGTGGGGATAAATCTATTTGTACAAAATGATTGTACACATGTAGTTGTTAAAAAAGTGTTGTGGAAAGGATGAATTGTTTTTAAAATTTTTCAATTACTATATGTCATGTTGCATGTTGTCAAAATCATTGTACATCAAACATGATTGTATAAGTGTTGGGTTTTTTGACTTTTTATAAGGGAATACCCCATAAATCCTCCATTTAAAAACCACATTTCAAAACTAACAAACTTCTAAATTTTTTTCAAAAATCAGGTAATAATTAAATTTATTAAAAGTTTAATTATAATATAGTATAATTAATTTACTTATCCCACCCTATCTCCAACTCACCCACCCATCACATCAAACCCTTCTCTTTCTCTCTTCACCCACCCCACCTTCGGCAACTTCTCTGGAGGTGGCTCGACGACTTCTCCGACCACAGTTCCGACAATAATTCCAAGGAATATGTGGTTTAAAAATATGGTTAAAAATGGTTTGACTGATTATAATTTACAAACAATTATAAACAGGTACCGGACAAGGAAATGTTGAAAATTGATTTGAATATTTTACTGCATTTAACTTTGCAGATTCCCAGTCTCTGGAAGTTATCCATTCTAGGTTAGACACGCGGCAGACTAACAACACGATCCACCACCAATCACCAATCATCATCACCTTCACCTCCAAATGTTTTGTCTCATTTATCTTAAACTGTTTCGTTCTAATCCTAGTGGAAACTAGACTAGCAAGCAACGAAGGAAAGCCAGGGACATCTATGAAGAAAAGAAGTAAATTCCAACTCGTTTTCCCTTGAAAAGATTTCCCAAGTTGAGACCTTTTTAACGTAGAAATCAACTCAAAATGCATTCATGGTTGTTGGTTGCTCTTCCTTTTCTCCATCACAAGATATTCCTGTAGTAACCAAAATATGTACAGTCTGCAAGTACTTTTCAACAAAAAAATTTATAAAGTTCTGTAAGCATATAGTAATGACATAATAAAAAAAAATTCAAATAAAAACAAAAGAAACAAGATTTTATTGCCAAAGAAGACTTCGAATTTAGTGAAATTGAAAATTTTTCCATTCAAATTTGAATAGATTGTTGAACATATACTACAAGTGAAGAGTATACTAGTTGATCTAACGTCAGATCACTACAAAAAAAATCGAAATCGCGACAAAAAAATGTTGTTGCATAAATAGAGATTTTATTGCAAAAATAATTTTGCAATAACAATGTGTCTATTGTTCGTATTGTCGTGCTACAACTTTCGATCATTCATCACATTAACAAACTGACAACATTATTCATTTGACACAAAAAATATGAAATAGCAATGAGATATTTCTCACCGTAATATCGTCGCAATGCCTATATGCCGCAAAAAATTAGAAGGGCGACAAGTTATTTTGTCGCAAAGATTGCTCCAATTAAGTTTTTGTGAGAACTATGTTTGTTGTGAATACTATTTTAAAGGTATAGCCTTTGTTGCCTATTTAATTCTGCAACAACACATGCTTGTAGTAATATATCTTTAATAAAAAGTCATGTTTGTCATCAAATTCATTTTAAAATGTGTTTAACATCACTACACCAAAAAAAGGGCTATTGCAATGGTCAAAAAACGTTGCAAAAAAGTCATTTGCAACGTTTGAGCGTATGTTGCGAAGCTTGATGTTGTTGTTGAGGTAAGACTTTTTGCAGTGTTTAAAAAACGTTGCAAAATCCTAGTCTATTGCAACGTTTAGCAAATGTTGCAAAAGCCTATCTATTGCAATGTTTGCTAAACGTTGCACTATACTAGGGTTTTGCAACGTTTAAAAGATGTTGCAATAGCCTATCTATTGCAACATTTTTTAAACGTTGCAATAGCTAATTCACATTCTTTTTTTATCTATGCTTAACACTACTAAAAATTTAGTTCTTTGATCAAATAAGTCATTCAAAACTAACAAACATGTACCACCAAAATAATAAACTAACAAACACATTACTTATTAAATTTGTAAAATATTCAACACATAATCTCTTCCAAAATAAAATTAAGAGTCTCCAAACATGTACTACCAAAATGTAATTAGGAAACTACAAAAATCGAAACTTAAACTTGAAATCGTCGCATGTTACTTGATCAATATCATTGCCACTAAGAGGCTAATACCTTAATCAAGAAGTCTAACACTACTCTTTGGCCAAGTAACAGTACTTCCCATGGCTTCACTAAGAGTGCGGAATTCATTTGTGGGTCTGTATAGGGTCAAATTGCCCATATAGACTTCCTCAACCCAAACCTTCCAACAGTCTCAATCGAGTGGCAAGTGATACACCTTTGCACTTGGATCTGTTGTGGCAATCTTCCCTTCTGCTACGACTTCTTCCTCCTCAAACATGTACCAATGCAACAGTTGACACTTGCATTTGTCTTGGGGGTAGTACTTCCTTGGATACCACTTCCTTGGTGTGACAACAAATTCATAATAAACAGAAAGTATTCTTTTTAAAATTAGAATGCTACAAACTGAATATATATTAAATAAACATTTAATAATATAGGAAATGGAAACTTGAGTAAAAGCAGTTGAATTCATATCCTCCACATTCTGTATAATAATACAAAAATTACAAAAGTTATTATACATGTAATTGGCTATATAAAGCTATATAATCATAAAATGTATAAAAAGTAACTACTTATAACCTGCTGAGAAAACCTAATAAATGCTTCCATTTTTTCTTCTAATGCCCCCATCCTTTGTGCCTGAATCTATATTTGGCTTTCAAGTTCTCTAACTCTCTCACTACTTTGTATTTGTCCATCCACTTTTGATGGTACAACTCCAAATCCAAGTCCCCTAACCCTCACATGACGTTCAGAACCTAAAACTCGAGCTATAGCATCATCAAGGATAGAATCTTCGGCAGACGTATCAGAAATTGATGTGGCACAATCTTCAATCTTTTTCTGCACATCTGGAACTCAAATCAAATACTAGCAAGTAATGCAACTAATAAATCAAATTATGCTTAATTGAACATTGGTATAATAGACATACCAATGTTTCGGCAACTGCTTCATTAATTGGTTTTCCATCTTTTCTGAGATGTCCATATTTCCATACTTCTGTTCTTAACCCTTTTAAAAGTGGATTCTTTTTCTTCTACAGTACAAATGTAGTAATCAAATATATTGAAATTGGACAATTTAAGTAAAAAGACATGATATGTTCGTAAGAAATACCATTTCATAAGTCACACGTGGATAACCCTTTCTACCCATAGTATGGAGAAGCTTCTGATTAGTTCGCATGTTGCTAAGCTTGGAACTTTTCTCCTATTGAAAAAAGAACGGAGTATAAAACAACAATAATTAAAATAAGGGTTAAGCTTTACATGCAAATATACTTACATGTATTTCGGATTGAAAAGATTCTCTAGAGCTAGAATAAAAACCTACAACATCAAAACAAATAGATGTTATTCAACATTTCATCGCAATATGAATTGATAGATAAATCACTTGTCAAAATATTCTAGAAAAATTGATCATTATGTAAAAAGTATGTTGTCTACAAAAAAGGGAGTTACCAAACTACTTTACGTATCACACAGTACGCCTTCAACATCTATCCTTGCATAATTGTCATCTTCATCATGTTTGTCTATAATTGGCTGTGATATATCTAGTGGAATAGTTACCTCATAATTAGTATTTTCTTCCAAATGTGATGCATCAAAGTCTCTCTGTGGCGTTTGCAAAGCCACATACCAACTAGATGTTTCATTTTCCCTAGAATAAAATACTTGTTTCACATGTGTTGCCAAAATGAACGAATCATTTTCAAATTGTCTCTGTCCTTCGTGAAGATTAACCAAAGTGAATCCATCTTCCTTTTTTATTCCGTTCACAATATTTGCCCAATTACACTTGAATATTGGAACATGAAACGTATTATAGTCAAGCACTATAACGTCATGCAAAACTCCATAATAAAGAACTTGCCCAACTATTTATGCATTATCTTTTGTACTAGATCTACATATGGTCGTTGCTTCAACTAAAACGCCACTATTTTGACGAGATTTTTCTGCATCTTTAGTGTGAAATCGAAGACCATTTATAACAAAACTAGAATATGACATGGATTGATATCTAGGACCACGTGCAAGCCACTTCAAATTGTTCGAAACTTTGTTCATCAATAGCTGAATTTGAATCTGTTATTATGTTAAAAATGTTAGAAATAAAAGAATAAATAGCACAACTTTGAGACATTTATTTGTTGATGTGTATTCCAACCTTATCATCCAATCAGGCAGCAAAAGCATTAATGTGCTTATTGTTCAATAAAGCCTCATTTCTTTCCAGTCGTTTGTAAAAACTCTTCAATTCATCCATATGCATCCTAAGGTGAATAAAATATATCAAAAATTATGGTTAACTATTTAAAATTATTGAACTCTATATTTAATAAACGTACTCTATGTATGGTTGAACTTCTGTACTATTCAGTAACACGTAGCGATGAGCAACTTTCAACATCTCATTGGATAGTATAATTGTCTTTCCTTTAGAAATTGTACGCCCTGCAACTAGGAAATTAGTCTCGTATTCTTCATTGTGTACAGGCTTAGAACCTATTTTAGATGCTTGTGTTACGTATTTGCTACAAAACTTCGCATTTTCTTCAACAATATATCATTCAGCTATGCACCCTTCAGGCCGTGTACGATTCATAACATACTCTTTCAACACTTTCATATATCTCTCAAATGGATACATCCAACGATATTGTACTGGTCCACATAGTCGAACTTCTTTCCCAAGATGAATTGTTAAATGAACCATTATATCAAAAAAGGAAGGCGGGAAGTACCTTTCCAATATGCATAAAGTTTCAGAAATGTCCTCCTCTAATTGTTCAACCTTATTTCTATCTACAATTCCTTAACATATTTCGTTGAAAAATGAACTCAATTTAAAAATAGAATTCCTTGGTCCTTTAGGTAGAAACCCTCTCAACGCAACTGATAATAATTGTTGCATTAACATATGACAATTATGAGATTTCAACCCAACTATCTTACATTCTTCCACTGATATGCAATTTCCAATATTAGATCCATAACCATTGGGTAATCTCAAGTTAGCAAGACTTTTGTAAAAAAATTGCTTTTTTGCTTTTGATGAGGTTTGAGGAGCAACTGGTAGATAGAATTTATTTCCTCTACTCTGAGGATGTAAATCATGCCTAATATTCATTTCTTCCATGTCCTTACGAGAGTTAATGCCATCTTTAGATTTTTCTTTGACATCCAGAAGTGTACTGATGATGCTTTCACAAATATTCTTCTCCACATGCATCACATCCAAATTATGACGTACAAGTAAAGTCTGCAAATCAAACGCCAATGGAGTTATAAAAACTACACACAATTATAAGTATTGAATAAAAATGAAGGAAATATCACAACAATTAACTTCCAATATGGTAGATTGAAAAATATTGACCTCTTCTTCCACGTTATATTAGATTGAGTTGTATTCTTCTTCCTCTTCCGTTTCCCACTTTTTCCCCAGTCGTTTGTAATTTTATCAACTTCAATAAAATCTTCTTCACAATTTTTTATCTGTGGCATAATACCATGTTCAATATGTCCATCAAACCAGCTCTTTTTCATGCGAAACGGATGATCAAACGCGAGAAAATTTCTATTTCCCATGTATGCAAACTTCCTACCATGCTTCAACCATAATGAACATGTACTCTCACGACAAATAGGGCATGCAATTTTTCTTTTGACGGGCACCCAGATATATTTCCAAATGCAGGAAAATCATGTATTGTCCACATCAAAAGAGCTTTTAAATTAAATGTAGACTTTGTAACAGCATCATACATATCAACCCATCATTCCATAACAACATTAAGTCGTCTACAAGTGGTGCCAAATAAAGATCTATGTCATTACCTTGCTGTTTTGGTCTCGGGATCAATAAACTCAACATCAAACTTTCGTTTGACATGCAAATTGAGGGAGGCAAGTTATATATAGTTAAGATTACTGGCCAACAACTGTATTTAGAGCTAAGATCTTTGAAAGGATTAAATCCATCAGTAGCAAGACCTAATATAATATTTCGAGGATCGGATGCAAAATCTGGCCACCTTCGATTAATCATTTCCCAACTCAATGAATCAACTGGATGCCTAATCTTACCGTCTGAACTTTTATTATTTGAGTACCATCGAAGTTGTGCTGACAATTCATATATTCCAAACATCCTCTTCAGTTTTGGTATTATAGGAAAATAACGCAAGACCTTCGCTGAGATATTTTTCTGAATTTTTTTTGTCCGTTTGTTAATTTTCCATCTCGAGCAACCATATTTTGGACATAATTCAGCATGCTCAAGCTCTTTTCTATATAGACAACAATCATTTAGGCAAGCATGTATCTTTTCGTAGCCAATATCAAATGTATTGACAAGTTTTTTCATCTCGTAAAATGAGTTTGGAAGTGTATTATTATCTAGCAACATGTCTCGAACAAGATTTATAAGTTCATCAAGAAATCCCCAATGTGTGTTTTCTATAAGTTGAAACATGTCTCCTAATTCAAAATTTTTTTAAACAATGTGTGTTAATTATGCAAATTTTATGTGTGATCTTTTTACTTTTATTTAGTGTGCGGGAGAAGCAAATTTAGACTAAAACATACGTGTTTCTGTATCTCTTAATTATAAAATATAAGATAAGATGCATCGTCTCACAAATGAATGAGAACAAAAGAGAACAAAACCAAATTTATGTTCAGCTTCTATTAATGATCTAGAAATAGTGTTTTGTTTCTTTGATTTTCAAGATACCAAAAAGGTACCAATAAAAACATAGTATCCTATTACTGACCTTCGTGTGACCAAACACACCCCTCCAATTCGAGTCATTGTAAGCCCTAAATTGCAGGTCTTATGTGAAGGAAATAGCATCCTTGACCTGGTGCCCTTATTTATGTATTTGAACACTTTTGAGCATCATTTAAACAGGGTATTCTAGGACTTCGCATGTACTGACTAAACAATTGCACCGAGTAAGCCAAATTAGATCTTGTGATAGTTAAATAAAGTAATCTCCCAATAAGTCTTCTATAGATAGAAGGGTTTGATAAGAGTTCTCCTGGATCTTAAGAAATTGTGACATTTTGATATAATGGAACTTGACAGGTACTTCCCTAATTGTCCCTGAGTCAGCCAAGATATTCAGTGCATATTTATTTTTATCTTTTTTTTCCCTTCAATTAATACCTTCTTTGCTTTTAAACGATCTTTGAGCATGTATAAGATAATTATTATTCATGATTACAGATGATTATTTGTTTTCTTTTAAGGAAACACCAAAATATGAATATTTTCATTCAGAGTACTGTTCCAACTGGATAGGACGGCAGTGATATATAAATATTCTGTAATTAAATGACAAACTCTAGAAGCAATTGCTGCGTTCATGAATGTATAATTGTTTGATTACACCACTTTATATATAGTTCATTTCATTCATGATTCTAGTCTCTAGATTATATCTAAATTTTGACTAACATCTCCCTTTTCTTTTTTCAGAATCAAGAAAAGAAAATTCAGAACGGCTGAATTGGAAAATACAAGTCAGATATGCATATTGAGGAAAGCTGCTGCTTGTTTTGAGAGAGATGGAAGAGCAGAAGTTAAAAATATCAGTGAATGTGCAAAGTGTGAAGGTCAACCTCCAGATTTGAATTGAATTGGCTAATGCCATAGTATTCCTTTGCATACTTGCACTAGAAGAAGTATTTCAAGTTCTCTAACTCTGCCACTAGAAGAAGTATTCCTTTGCATACTTGCACTACGAATTTCCCTTTCAGATCTCACACCTCTATTCCAAGAAAATATTTTGAGAGCACCCAAGTCTTTGATTTTGAATTTGTCATCAAATGAGTTTTTAAAAGAATGAATGATTTCCATTTTGTTACCAGCCACTATAACATCATCAACATACACTAATATAGCTATAAAAGAATCTTTTGTACTTCTTGTGAACAAAATATAGTCTTAGACTCCACATTGAATCTTATGTCTAATACCTGCCAAAATAAGCAGACCAAGGTCAATAAGACAATAACACGTTCTCTTTTGTAAGACGACAACATAGCAAACAACTTCTGGGCTTGATGTACAGAGTAATGAAATGATGTCTTGTTTTAATTAAGCTAAAGTCATTTTGTTCTTCCCTGATAGTAATATTTTTCAGTAAGACCGCAAGGTAAGTACACGTAAAAC